CAACAGTTGGACAGGAAATATGGAAGATCAAGAAGAATTGTGGTGGCTGCCTCAGCTGCGAGGGCCAGGCCAGGAGGAGGCAGAGGAGGCTGCGGCCCCTGGAGACCAATCCCAACACCTCTATCTCTTGTCAGGAAAATGATTGAGGAAAGTGGCAACAAGCTAAAACCCATAGCAGAGAAGAGGCAGCTGTACATAGAAATGTATGCTCAGAATTTTGAGGTCATATGACTATCAACCTATAGAACAGCTTGCAAATTATAATTTGTGCAAAAACAGTGTAACCTTCACCTTGTTGGCATCTGGACCATGATAGAAACCTTCCAAGATAATGGGCTTAATACACTGGACCATCATACTGAGATCAGTGTGTCCACCTTGAAACCATCCTCTTAACCATCTACTACCAGCTGAACAAACACCTTCCTTCCACTCACCAGATCAGCGTGGAACAGTCCATCAGTCTTCTCAACTTCACGATGGCTGTGTATGACAGTGAGGGCCAAGGCAAGCTGATGGTCTTACCTGTTAAAGCCATGTTGGCAACCATGTGTGGTGGGAAGATGCTGGACACCTTGCAGTATGTTTTCTCCCAGATGTCAGATTCCAGTGGCTTATTGATATTGAGCAAGTTTGAAAATTTCTAAAGGAAGTTCTGAACCTCCCAGCTCAGGTACCTTTGGGTGGTCTTTGAAGGGCCATCTTTTGGTTATACAGAGCACTCAGTCTGCACTTGTGTCCCACAGCAGAAAAAGATAATGCTGGACATGTTTTTAGACACGATGATGGCTGATCGCCCTCCCCAGTGCCTTGTCTGGCTCGCTCTCATACACAGGCTCGCCCATCTGGAGAATGTCTTCCATCCTGTGGAGTCTTCCTGCTGCTGTTGTGAGCATGATGGCTTCCAGTACTAATGCCAGCAGTACCACAACTACCAGCTCTGCCAAAATTGCTTTTGGCATGGCCATGCCATGGCCTTCACAGCAGCCAACACCAGATGAAGGAGCATTCTTCTTGGAAATGGCCTGCAGAGAAGCTTAGCCATTCATGCAATTAGTAAATCTTTGGGGTGCGTACTCACCAGAGAACCCCTACATCCTGTTTTTCCTGAGCAACCAGAGAAACCACTTGACCTGGCACACATAGTCCCTCCTTGTCCTCTAACGAATATGGATGACACTGTGGTAAGCCACATGCCCTCTGGAGTGCCCATCTCCACCAAGAGTGTCCTGGACAACCCTAGCCGACTGGATGAGGAACACTTGACTGCTCCCTGTGCTGCACAGCTGGCTGCAGAGGCAGGCATCATGACCCTTCCTCTCCTGACTTGAGCTTTAACTTGGATGCCAACAAACAACAAAGGCAGAACTGGAAAATAAAAACAGATCCTGCAGGAGATTCAGCATCTGCGACTGGAGCATGAACAGGCCTCCTACCCCACCCCTGAGAAGGCCCAGCAGAATCCCCATTGTTAGCAGAGCTGCAGTTGCTGAAGTAAAGAAAAGATGAACTTGAGCAAAGAATGTCAGCACTCCAGAAGAGCAGGCTGGAGCTGATGTTCGAACTGGAGAGGCTCATGAAGTTACTGAAGGCTCAAGCCGCAGGGTCACCACACACATCACCCACGCACAGAGGTGACTGCTCGATGTCCTTGCCCATCTACTCCACGTGCACTGGCTCCATGCCCACCCATTGCCCCCCGGACTCCCTACCTGGGGTTGGGGGAGATGTGCAAGAGGCTTTCGCACAAGGTAAGAAGAGAGACTTCCACAGTGACCTGCTGGTGACTGTGGACTCCAACACCAACACCGTGTCATCCCGGGTGAAGGAGCTTCCTTCAGGTTAGCAGAGGAGCCTAGGCCAGAGGAAGCTTGGACATGGAGCACATGGAGTGAGCTGGCACAGACAGGACGAGGGCCAGGTCTCCCCCAGAGGCACATTCCTAACTATCTTTCCACTACACACCTGAACTGGGCTTACACACTGCCAGACATCACTCTGCTGCCGGGAAAGGGGTTCCAGCACGGTGGGAAGCCTGGAGAGGCTGCCCGAGGCCTTCCCCTCTAACCTTCCTGCCTGCACTAACATCTTCCACTCCCTCCCGGCATGGTCTCATCCCTTCACCAAGGAGTTTATAGGGAGGTTGAAAAAGAGAAAATGTACCCCTCTCCCCCCCACCCAAAAAAAATGTTGGATTTGAATAATAGCGTTGATGAAAAAATATTGGTAGTCTGCCAGAAGAATGAACATCAGTTTCAGAAAGAATAAAATCATAATGCTCATTAGAAGTGAGGGGTTTTTGTTTTGTTTTTAAATATTTTAGTGTGTGTGTGTGTGTGTGTGTGTGTGTCCGCGCGCACGCGCTTGTGTGTGTGTGTACCGTCAAATCTGATCTGACTGGTACAGGAGGAGATTGTCCCTCCTTCTCTAGGAAAGCATCTGGTGGATTTGAACCTCACATCTCTGGGATTGAGAAGTGAGGTTTTTGAGAATTCATCTTGGATACTTAGGGTACTCCAGTCTCTGAACTAGGGTATCAGACTGGGCAGATTAGACACTCTACTGCTGTGGAGTCATTACCAGCTGATGGGGATCCTCCATCAGATTTCTAAGACTATCTTTTTTATTTTTCCTAAGATTTAATAAGACTTTGCACTCTAATCTTAATAAGAGGTAAATGCCTTGCCTTGATACCTTGAAGAGGCTACTGGACTATAGACTTAACATTATCAAAGGTAATGAAGATGGCATAAGAAAGGGCAATATTTTGTTTTGTTTAGAGGTCACTATGAGTCCAGGCCAACTCAGTTACAGCTAACAAAAATGTGACTATGACAAGTACTTGTTAGACATATAAAAAGAAATGTCTTTGGTCATACCCACCAGGCTTACCTCTCTAGTTGTCTATTTCTTCTTCCTGCTGCTCTTTGTGTGTTCTAGACATGCTATTACCATTCCGTTCTCAGTATTCAAAGTTTGTCCCTAACGTATTCTGATAGTATAATACTTTCAAGATTTGACACTAAGCCACCAATTCCCAAGTCCTAGCAACAGTTCCTTTTATTCAGTAATTAGAAATGGTTACTGTTCATTTAAACAATTCTGGTGGTTCACTGGTAGAAATTGTGCCTTCCGTGCTATGGCCTGAGCTTGATACCCAGCGAATATATCTAATAGGTAGGCTCTATGTCAGTGGCTTATGCATGCTAAACAGATTTCATCAGCACTTCTACTCCTAAATAGTCGAAGACTAGTGATCTACTCTTAAAAGCCAACCAGGAAAAATCAAATGATTTTATACATTCCAATATCTTCAAGAGTCCCATGAGTTCAGGGCCAATTTGACAGCAGCTAACAATATATATGTGAAACAGATTATTCCCCTGGGAGGCTGGACTCTCTGAGGAGGAATGTCGCGTCAGAATTGGAGGAATAACCATCAACAACCTCCATTACGCAGATGACACAATCTTGCTTGCCAAAACTGAGGCGGGCCTGAGGCATTTGCTGCAGAAAAGCAAGGACTATAGCCTTCAGTATTGATTGAAGCTCAGCATCAGGAATGGAAAAGACTATGGCTTGCATGGGGTGCACCTTACTTTTTAAACTAGCATAATTACTCTTAAACATAAATACTCAGAACTATAGTTCCACCCTTGTTTTGCAGTAAGCTAATAAAAGATGGGTTGCCCCTTGAGCAATAAGCCTGGCCTCTCCAAGCTCCTCCATTGTGTCTGTGAACACCATATATTAATCTTACTTTAGATTTTATGTGGTATGATTTGGTAGATTGTTTTTTGATCTAGGACTACTCACTACATTTTTATCTGCAAAGGAATAGTAATTATTTTTTCACTTTAAGTAATTTCAGTTTATTGAAGTAGTTCACTGAAACACTATCCTTTGAGAGTTGAGAAAAATTGTCTGTGTATGCATTTATAAGTACATACTGACAAAACTATGTAATATGGGGAATAAAATAGTTCTTTAAGAAATTACTTTATGATAGAAAGTAGGAGCCTTTAGGCTATGGAGTTCTCCAAGGACAAGTAGAATTTTAATATAATAGGAAGTGTGTGTCTGTTATGACAGTCTAGTTGAAACTAACTCATAGCTGACTTACCAACAAGTTTTCAGAGGGTTGAGTTTCTCCTACAGGATAGCTGATGAATTTGAACCGCTTGCCTTTGGGGTGGTTAGCATTGTAACTCCTTACCACTCACCATAACTCCCCTATACCAAGAAGTTGTCATTGTAATGTATCATCAAGTCTGAACCAGTTCACAGCTGACCCTCCAGTGAATCAGAGATAGTAATCACATAGAGAAGCTGGTGGATCCGAACCATGAGCCTTTGTGTTGGCTGGCAGTGTAAATCCTTACCACTATGCCACCCAGCACTTCCTAATAAGAAGTAGTTCTAGGTGGTATAGCACTGGTCTGTGCGTTGCTGTACAGAGGTAACTCGTGGTTGCTGTGATGCTGAAGCCAATGACAGTGATGTGCCAATTGTGGTAATGGGCACCCATGGTGGACAGTTTTGGCTGTGGCTTCCTGACTAAAACAAGCCTGGAAGCAGGAGCGGCATCCACTTCCGAAATGGTTTGCCTCTGGAAACTCTATGTTCATAGGGTCGCTATGAGTCATCTACGACTCGACGGCATTAAACAACAACAACAACAGGAGTGGTAAAAAAATAAACAAATAGATTTTCTTTCTAAATCTAGACAATAATGAAAAAAACTCTACAGTGTTTTATTTTGCAATACAGTTGTATTACCTCTATTTTCATCATTAATAATAAACTTGAGCTTGAGTAAGTCATATGACTTGATTGTCTTTATATGCTTATAATTTATGCTCTGAAATATTACAGTTTTCCTTATGTTTGGTTTGCCGTTCAAATAATTGCAAGTGAAAGAAAACCTAACATGGCTTATTTTAGTTTGATCAAAATTTGGAAAAATGTAAAGCGTTTTTACTGTTTACTCTTTTCTTCAGCAAACTCATTATTACATTGGGTAAGAAACAAAAAAGAAAGAATGAGTCTTCAGAAGAAATATCTGATGCCGAACAGATGCCTCAGCATGCATTGAAAGATGAAAACTCTCAAGTGAGTAATAGACATTTTTCTGAGAAATAAAGCACTGGTAGAATTATCTGGGTAATATTATATTACCTTATATATATTTGCTTATACTCTAGCATTTAAGACATTTTCTTTTCTGATAGAACATACATGGCAGCATTATTATAATATGTTCTTACTCATTTTCAATGAAATGTTAGACCTAGGAAGAAACTTAAATATCTTCTACAGTCCCCTCATGTTCTAAATATTAAAATTGAAACCCTGAGAGCTTAAATAATCCTCCAAAGTTCCTGATGGCTTTTAACATGGCCAGGTATCTACAGATACTATCCTGTACCTATAGAGTGCTTATAAATGAGCTTGATGATGAAAACATTAATTTTTAAAATCACATACAAAAGCAAATAGATGCATTTTTAACCCCTGAGAGATAATTCTTTTTGTCTGCTTGTATTGAAGAAGATAGCCAGGTATAATTAAAATTCCCTAACATAGACATAAATATTGTGAGTGTGCCTTCTCCCCTCCCTTCCCCAAATAAGTGGGTTTTCAAAATAACCTTGTGAAGTTTCGGGGAAAATAGAGGGAAGGTCATAATAAGTCAGGCCACCTCCATTCTCTAATAATGAAATGCTAATGTAGGCCTTAGGGTTGGTGGCAGTTGTTGGATTATGGGGCCAGAAAGCCCCTGAATGGCCTTTCTTCTTCCTTATGCAGCTTCTTATCCAATGGGAGAGTAGTGGCTCAAGGCTCCTGGGCTGCTGCAAGAGTTGAGGTAAGGGCAGTGACCGAAGCTCCTAATATTATATGGCCTAGCTTTTTTTTTTCATATGTTATCTTTAACATAGGGAAACTTTTATTTAACTTACACAACGTGAGAAAATTTTGTAAAATAATGCTGGCCATTTTTCACTATTATTACAGCAATGAGATCGTAGAATAGGCTAGCATGCACATTTCTTCCATATTTTCAGTACAATATTAGGTGACTTTACCTCTGTGTTTTCTCTCACACACACAAATGGACAAGCAAAAACCCATTATCTGTAATAGATTAGAAAACTGATAGATGGTTAGGTGGCAGCAACACCTTATAACTTTCAAGGCAACAATGAATTCTCAAGATTTGAAGACTTGAAAACATATTTGGCTTCAGATAGCAATAAAAGGAATCTAGCAATGTGAATATAGTACTTAATATTGTTTCTTTAATCTCAGCAGATAAATCTTTACAGTTTTATCTGCATTGAGAGACATAAGTGTAATGAAAATGCCTGCCGTCAGTTATAGTTGGATTATTCTAAGAATCAAATGTTCTACAATCATAATGAAGTATTTATTAGTCATATGAAAGCATGTTTCAGACCTCTTAAGTCAAATCCTATAAGCTATCTTTATAAAACCTTCAAGATGTGATAAATGAAAAAATAGAAATAAAACATTGGAAGAGAGAATTTATCACTTTTAAATGGTGCTTTAAGCATCATTATTTAAAAAGTAAGCCAGAAAAAAAGGCCCATGAGATAAAATTCTCATTTTTTATTGCAGTCGAGTAGGAACCAACTCATAGCTGACCCTCCGGCAGGTTTTCACAGACCTTAAACGGTTCAAGAGGAGATTGCCATTCTTTCTCCCATGGAGCCACTGGTGGATTTGAACCAGCAAAGATGACACATTTCACTTAGCATCTCAGCTCATTATGTACTAGAGCTCCTCTTTAAAAATATGTTTGTTTTTTTTATTGTTCAAACTATGTTCATCAGATAAGTTTTTATATTTTCAAAATAGTACAGCACTGTGTGCCCTTAAAGGGCATAGTTGAGAATGACACCTTTTTTATTTTTACTTTAATGTATGACAGTATACACAAGTGGTATATAATTTATGGTGAAATTAGCTGTAGATTTAATACTCAAACTTGGATTAACCATTTATAATGGTATAGTCTTCATAGGTTAAAGAAGCAGTTTACAAATTGTGACCCTCATGATAGAATGATAGATTGAAAAGGTTTTAAATTTTTTTTATTAGATTTTGAAGAGTTCCTTGAATTTGTACTTTTCTTAGATCCAAATAAGTTTTCTAAGATACTTGATTACTATCTGTTAAAATATTAAGCATTTCAAAGTACTCACATAGGACTAAAGTGACTATAATCTTTAATGCTAAAAATACCTAAGTTAATTTTTAAATGTACTAGATTCTTCCTAAAAACAATTATTTAGAAGATTTATGTCTAGTCAGATAGCACTTTGATAATACATTTTATTTGTAGATAAATTGATTATAATTTAAAATATTCTTACATATTAAATCTTAAAATTATATACAAATAAAATCCTAAGTATTTTGTTGTTTTTATGTACCATCAAGTAGGAAACAACTCATAGCTGACCCACCAGTGGGTTTTTAAGAGTCATTCTCACAAGATTGCCTGTCTTTCTCCCACTGAGCAGCTGGTGAAAACTACATGCTTTTCAGTTGACAGTGCAACTCTTGCTCACATTCTTTTAGTCTAGTGTTAGTTTAGAAATTCACCCCATCCCTGACACAACAAATATTATATCCCTATTTTAAAAAGTAGAATAGGGGAAAATTGCTTTTCCTAAGAATCCTTTTTTCTTTAACTTATAGTGCGCTACCTTCCTGCCTCCTATGTTAACAAAAGTACTACCTTGAATTTCAAATATACATTTAGCACAAATGCATTGCCACCAAGAGTCTAAAGTAAGGTGGCTAAATGGTAAGGAGTACTTTTAATCTGGTGGCACTTGGTTTGAGTCCACCAGCTACTGCTCCACAGGAAAAGATGGGTAGTGCTTTCCCATGCATTTAACTGCCTCTTAAAATCTTCTGGTTTTATTGTGGAAGCCCAAAATCTCTGTAAATGTTTATGAAAATTAATAAAATATAATTATAGAAAAAAAAAAAGATTTAACCACTAGAAATAAATTTGGAGACCACTGGGGGGAAAAAAAAATCTTCTGGAGGATAGGTTTGTTCCGACTCGATGGTATACCACATCCACGACCGTATAAGTTCATTTCCTTTCTTGATTATCCATATTTAAGAGAAGGGATGTTAAAAGTCACAACCACCTCACTGATGGCAAATAACAGATTGCCCCAATATTGCGACGGTTCTTTAACATTATAGGTTGTAGAAGTAAACGAAAGAACTTATGTATTGCAATCATTGGCCAAAACCCAAAGGAAAACTGTAGATTTGTTTTGTATTTATTTTTGGAAGTAAGAGGAGAGTACTTAAACATACAGAATATTGTAGCTTTACTAACCATTGAGCAAGAGAGTACCTGTTTGTAGTGATTTCACCCAGAACATTGCTGGGAAGGGGAAAACAAGCAAATCTTGCTGGGAGATTCTGGCAAGCTGTAATTTTGAGGGTTTTGGTGGGAACATCAAAATAAGAGTACTTTAATTTCTTGGGGGAAAAATAGGTAATTAGGGAGGTAAGTAAAGCCATGTGTATTTTATATCTGACTCCAACTTACTTAGAGTATTGCATTTGCTTATATGAAGGTGATGCTCTTTTTATTTTATTTTTTATTTTACTTTTTTCCTCTCTTTTTTTTTTTTTATCTTTATTTTTAAGGACAGCAGTAAGACTATTAAATCATTGATCCTCCTTCATTCATTTTTAGTTCTTTTTAAGACAATAATTTATTATTTGTGTATCTCTTCTAAACATTTACCATTTATTTTTATGTCTTGTCTTAAATTTTATAAATAGTTAACATATATTCATATAGGTTTATACTCCCGAATAACTATTTAACCAATATTCAGTTTAAGATAAAAATATGAAAATATTACTACTTTTAAATAATTACTATCTTGTGTGGAATAGCTTAATAGCCTACCTACCTTTTTATTGTTCTTAACGAAAGATCTAGAGAAATGTAATCAACGATAAAGGTATTTTGTATGCAAAGTGTGAAATAGTTCAAACTAAAATAACAGAGACTTTTTTACTCTTATTAGTTTCTAAAATAAATTTGTAAAAGCCTCATAACATTTGTTATTTAAAATTTTTGCACTTAAATGTCTAGGAAGGTTGTAAACCTGTTGTGACAAAGGGTAAATTACAACCTTCTATCTGTTAAAAGGTAAAAATTAGCAATATTAATGGGGAAAATAATTTTCAGTGTTTGATAAACAACATTAGGAGTGATTATTTAAAAAAAAAATTTCCTTCAAACAAAATAAACTGCATCCTTATGATTCATTACAGAAAAGAAGATCAAACCGACAAATTAAACGAAAAAAATATGTAGAAGCAGCAGAAGGAAAACAATCTGAAGAAGCAGTTAAAGGTTCTATGAAAATTAAAAAGAATTCAAATCCTTTACCTGGTGAACAGCCCTTGCAGTTATTTGTGGTAAGGTGTATTTTTCTTTATAAAAATTTATGTATTTTATATGATTATTACTATAAAACATTTTAAATAATCATATATTTTATAGGATTATTACTATAAAACATTTTAAATAATCATAAATTATTTTAAATTCTCTGATTATTTTTCCTCTTGAAACCCAAATTCCGTAATTGAGGTAAAACTATCCATATTATTTCACCTCTCTTTGTTTTCTTTTCCTGCATCTGATTTTTATTGTATTTTTCTACCCCCTGAATATTCTTCTTTTTATTTTTTAAGGTAAGGTGTAAAGATAGATTTATTAGAAAGTTAGATCCCAAACCGATAGACTTTCCTCCTTGAAATGAAATATGGAAGAGGCCTGAATAGTTACTCTTGAGACCTCTTTCTCTTCCCTATTTGCAAATTTCTAAATTACAGAACTAATCATGTTATAATTTTCCAAGTCTTTAAATAATACTGTCCTAGCATTAGCATAGCTTATAAATCTCTCTCATTGCTGTTGAGTGATAATTGGCTCATAGCTGTGCCCTAGTGGGGTTTCTGGAGGCTGTAAATCACGTGGGAGACAGTTGCACATTTTTGTCCTGCAGAGCACCTGGTAGATTCATACTGGAGCGAAGCTCCCTAAAAAGTATGCCAGGAGAGCTCCCTGTAATGGATTTTATGCAGTTTATAAGTCCCTTCGGTTTCTGGCTTCATTTGCTTCCTCTGCCACTTCTTTGTGAGCTGTTTTCGAACTTTAGTAGCTTGGGTGCTATATTAGACAATTTCTGTGCCGACGTGTTTTCTTCTTTTAAAAATTATTATAATCCCTCTTGCTTGAATTGTAAACCTGCCTCACCAACCCTGCCATTTATTTTCTACTTGATAACTAGAATGTTGACAAGTTTTCTTCAAATGTTGGAGTAGTAGAGAAAAAGTTGATCATTCAAACTCACTGGCTGCTGTTCTCATGTATTAAAGATTTACAGCATTTAAAACACAAAGGACAGCAGTACCTTTTGGCAAATACCTAGTTTATCCTTAATTACCTCTTCAGTACAGTTGAGATGACTATAGTACCTGCCTCATAGTTTGGCCACAAGATTAAATTAGTATATTTTAAGGGCTTGAAGGAAATCTGACATAGGTAGAGCATAGCATATAGACTATGATGGAAATATTTGAGATGGCAAGGGCAATAACAAAAATGAGGATGTTGCCCATTATTTAACAAATTAGCTCTGGTGGCATCATGGGAAGCTGTTGTAGTCTCAAAGGGCTGCAGTTTGGATCCATCAGCTGCTCCACTAGAGAAAGATGGGCAGTCTTTTCCCATCTAGTTTACTGCTTCTGAAAAGCTGCTAAGATAGATGGTCAGGTATGAGTTGCTTCTGCCTCAACAACACACACCAACAGCAGTCATTTAATAGTACCTGTATATGCACTAAATAAGTTGTCTTAAATTTTAATATGTTAATAAATACATAGTGACAATTAAATGAGTTTTTAAAATTTGTTGCACCTTGGTTCTCTCTCTTTCTTTCCATAGGAGAATCCCAGTGAAGAAGATGCTGCAATTGTAGACAAAATATTATCTTCAAGAATTGTGAAAAAGGAAGTAAGTGTATTACATGTTACGTTTATATTCCATGGCATTGTTTTTAAAAGAGTCGTAATTATTGATTTTATTTTCTTAGGTATCTCCTGGTGTAATGATTGATACAGAAGAGTTTTTTGTAAAATACAAGAATTAGTAAGTAGAAATGTTAGAAAACAGATAAGAGAAAGATGCTGTTTTAGAGTATCTCTGTTGTTTTTAAATACATTATTATTTTCTTGTCTATATTACGTAAATTTCTAATTCTAGTATATTAAATGAAAAAGAATTTTAAGAGTTTTCTGTTTGAAACAAGCCCCAACAACATTTTTTTTCTTCAGACATAAGAAAGGCTTTGTTTAATTACTTTTCACATAAAAATTGAGTGTTTTTACCCTGAAAATGCAGGGTTATTTTGTATTTTTCATAAAATATCTTTCTATAATTTACAGACATTATTTTTTACATCTGTGTTATTTTTATGCATTCTTTTTTGAAAAGAAAGAATTTTTTTAGTAATTTTACCAAGATGATTTGATTAAAATTTCAATCTTGAACGTAGGTGAATTAACTCATGTTGTTACTGTTTTCTCCTGTTGAGTTAGAGCCAACTGACGTATGATCATTCAACAGGTTATTACAGCCTGTAAATTGTACAGGAGGAGATTGTTCATTTTTCTTTTAAATAGTAGGTAGTGGAATCGAACTGCATACCTTTGGGTTGGCAAAGCAGTTCCTTATCACTAGGCCACCAGAGATTTCTGGATTAACTCATCTGTATTGCTAAATTAGAGAAAATCCTTGAAAACAAAAATATATTTTATTTGAAGAGAGTTCTCAACATTTATTTAAACCAAATTAGTTTTATAATAAAGAATAAGTTTTACATCTTGCTGTTATCTTTATGACCCAATTTACTGTTCCTTTTCTACTTGTTGAATTAACATGGAGCTCTTGTGGCAAAATAATTTACTTTTACCAGGATACTAACCAAAAAGTCAGCAGGTCAAATCCACCAACTTCTTTGAGATTGAGACTTGGGAGTCTGCTCAGATAAAGATTTATAACCCAGGAAATCCATGAGAGGGTCCAAAGTGTTATGAGTTAGAGAAATGGTAAAGCAGTGTGACCTTTATATTACAGTCTTTTCAGCACATAGAAATCACAATGATTATATTTTACAGTTATGTAAAAGTCTAGTAAATGACTATCTGCGTGTGAAGTTGAAGGTACTATTCCTATTATATATTTTCATTAAATCTCAAAGCATACTCTGACATTCTAATATATTGTTTTTATATAATTTTTAGCTCCTATCTTCACTGTGAATGGGCTACAGAAGAGCAGCTTTTGAAGGATAAAAGGATTCAACAGAAAATAAAACGATTTAAATTGAGACAAGCACAAAGAGCGCATTTTTTCTCAGATGTAAGAACACAAACTATTATGTGTTAGACTCTGTTGCTTATAAAAATTTTAAGGATTATTCATATTCATTCTGAGACCTCCAAATTGTATCTTTAGAATTTAAATGTCTTTATACTATGTGCATATAAAAAGGTCTTCTCTTTTACAGTTGTACTGGAGAATAATAAAGGCAATAGGAATGATTATATTTAAAAATAGTGTATAGATGCTTTGTTGGGAAAGGAGGAGCTATCTCCTCTTATGCCTCTTGGGTCTGATTCAACGGTACACAACAAGGAAAAAAAAGAATTGAGATAGTGTATAATTCTTTTCTAGTTTGTGGTATTGAACATTAATTAGAGAAGTTATTGAAGTAGAAGAATAATGCTGCAAATAAGTAGAAATTGACATTTTTTTGGTTATGGGAATATATTGATAATTTCTCTGTGTGTATGTCTCTGCACTGAAGTACATTACAAAAATGCATTCATCTGTTCAGACCTCATTATATATTTGCTTTCATTTTCTACTATAAATTATTTTTAAATCTATTTTAAAATGTTAAATGTTGTGTTAATATACAAAAAGAAGTAAATATTAGACTAAGAACATTTCTATATTTCATCCATATTCTCTGTTGCACAAATAGTGTGTGAAGGAGGACTGTAGTATCTATGATATCTGACCTCCTTTACATAAACAAGAGGGGAATAGACTCAGATATCATAGATACTACTGTCCTCCTTCCACACACTCTTTGACATCAAGTCAGAACCACCTCTTAGCTGACCCTCCTGTTATTTTCTAAAACTGTAAATTGCTTGGAATGAGATTCCATACCTAGTTCCTTGAAGGCACTGGAGGATTTGAACCACTCGAGAGGCCTTTGGGTTGGTAATGCATCTGCCTGCCGATTAAGTCACCAAACCTTCCCTTATTAGATAAATTATGGTTTGTAACTCAGGATCAGGAACAACTAAGGATACAGTTCTTCGGTTGTTGTTATTGTTAGGTGCATTTGGCTTGAATGTGATTCATACTCAACCCTGAACAACAGATCTAAACCCTGTCATCCTCATGGTCTCAGATATGCTCAAACCCATTGTTCTAATCAATGTTTCATTCCATCTTGTTAAGAATCTTTCTTTTGCTGACTCTTCATGTTTCCTAGCATGATCTTTTCCTAAGCACTGATTTCCTCCTGACAGCATGGTTAAAGTATTTGAGATATATGGATATGCCTCTAAGGAACCCCTTCAGAGTACTAGACATCCCATGGACAGCCAAAAGAACAAATAAATATGTCTTGGAGAGGTGTGCAGCCAGAGTTCTTTGGAGGAAAAAAAAAATGAGGTTTGCCTCTGTCTTGGAGAGGAATATGATGCTCCAAAAGGTCAGTGAAGGAGATGAAGACCCTCAACCAGCAGACTGACATGGTGACTACCGCAGTGGGCTCAGATGTGTCAGTGCGTGTGAAGGTGGCACACGATAGGACCTGGCTCAGATCTATTGTTCATAGGGTCACTCTGGCTTGTATTCAGCGTGTTAGCACCTGCCAACAACAAGGAGCACCCTGGTTTCACCTCCTCCGAGACAGACTTGATTGTTCTTTTGACAGTCTAGGGAGTGTTGAGTACTCTTCTCCAATAACCTGATTCAAGGAGTCAAGTCTTCCTCTGCCATCTCTGTTCACTTTCCAACTTTCAGATACATAGCAGGTAATTGAAAACACCATGATGTGCAATTACTTGCTTTTTTTCCTCCATCTATGAGTGGTCCTTGTGGTGAATATTTGTTTGTGACTTCTCCATAATGCATATTATTGATGCGCCAATTTGCATTAAGAGAAAAATCTATAGATGACTTTGTTAGGTGTGGAATTGTTAGGTGTGGAATCTAAGGAATGAGCATGAATCTAAGATTACATATCTATTTCTGGTTTATCCAGTTAGCATTGGGGCTGAACAATGTGTTATTATTAATTCAGAAAATATAAAAGAAAGTAAAGATTAAAGACTTAGTAGGTACAGTTTAGTTTAAGGTCCCTTAGAGATGTTTTCATCTAGGTAAGTGGATCTTGTACTTAGAAACAGCTTCATCAGTAGATGAAATTCTAGCTAATACTAAGAAATAAGTGAGGTTTGAGGAGAGAGTAGCATGATTGACAGTCAGGGAAAGGAGACCTGAAAAATTAACAAAAGACAGAGCTAGCACTCATTCTTGGGATATTTTGAAAATATCCTTTTACTTCAATTTACTATCTGGTATATTATTTCCTAATGTTAATTAGTTTATCATATATAATATGTTGATTAATCATATATATATATATGTATGTATATATGTATATGTATATATGTATATGTGTATATATATATATATAAAATTATCCCAGATATTCTTTGTAAAATAAGTGAAAGAATTTTATAAATTAGAAGTTTAATTGAAATTAAACTTAAGCATTTCTCCTATAGATGAATGAATACCTAGTAGATCTGTCCATATTTCATCATGATCTTTATATTTCATCTCTGATATCAATTTTTTATATTCAGATTGAAGAAGAACCATTTAACCCAGACTACGTTGAAGTAGATAGAGTATTAGAAGTCTCATTTTGTGAAGATAAGGATACTGGTGAGGTAAGTATTTCAGAAAGAAAAAAAAAATTAAGAAAAATCTAAAACTGTCATAAGTTGTGTAATAGTGCCTTTTAAAAATACTAATGACAAAAAAACCTTAAAAATGGTGGAGTTTTTCTATTGGCTTGATTCTGTAAAGTATGTTTAGACTATTATTAACTGCTCCCTAGTAAAGCTATTTCTTACCCTTAAAAAAAATGTTTTATTTGTGATTTTAATGAAAGTTTGCAGAAAAGTTGAGTGTCCATTCATTCGTTGTTGCACATTTTTTCTTCTTCCCCTTCCTCCAGTTCACTTTCTTTTTTAAAAAATATTCATTCATTGCTGCAGTTTCCTCCCTCCCTGATTCTCTTCCCTCTCCCCCAGTCCACTTGGCAATGTACCTCTTATTCTGGACTGTTGTCACACATATAATGCCTAACCTTACATTTCTTTTAAACAGTTCGTTTCTTCATCTGTACCAATGTAGTGTTCATTATCCACTCTTTTCCTATTCTCATCCCAGCCAACTCATGTCATTCCTGCTTTGTAACAATCAGTGATGTGATGCAGTCTTTGACCTTTTGTGACTGAGATATTTCACTCAGCATAATGTCCTACAGGGTTACCCATGCTGTGTAATGTTTTATGAAATCATTGTGTTTTATTTTTTTTTTAATTCATTTATTTTCAGTTCTGCATAGTATTCCATTTTGTGAATATATCATAGTTGTTGTAACAGTTTATTTGTTGATGGGCACTTGGGTTGCTTTCATCTCTTTGCTATTGTGAATAACGCAGCAATAATCATGTATGCATACACCTGTTTGGATGGTTGTTCTGGTTTCTTTAGGGTATATTTTCAGTAGTGGGATTACAGGATCAAGTGGTATGTCTATTTCTACCCTTTTGAGAAACCACCATACCTCCTTCCATAGTAGTTGCATTATTTTACCCCCCAATGAATAAGGGTTCAAATCTCTCCACAACTTCACAGCATTTGTTGTTTGCTACATTGTTAAACTTTGCTGTTTTTCTGGAGTTCTTATTCTATTTCAGAATGATACAATGAAAACATTTCTTACAGCCTGTTATTTACTACTTAATAAAATGGTGCTCCTTGCCATATGAAGATAGTACTTGGGAACTAAAGGAAGACGTTGATCTTGCAAAAATAGAAGAGTTTGAACAATTACAAGCTTCAAGACCTGACACAAGACACTTGGTAAGAATATACCTGGAAAAGCATTTCTTTATTTAGTAATTATTTTATCAGTTTATTTAATTATTCTATATGCAGATATTCTAAGTTTTTTGTATTATAACCAGTATTGTTCTGTGCATTCTAGAGCCCTTGTGTAAGTTTCTGTAAAATAAATTAGAAGTTGCTTAGTCAGAGGTTGCATGCATTTAAATTAAGTATTAGCTTGCTCATTTCATTCTACTCTTTATGTTATATCATTTCTATTAACATCAGTAACATCTGTTACAGGTTTATCCACTTTTGTCCAATGAAAATCCTTACATAGCTGCTTTCTCTTCCTGTTAATTCTCCATTACTAGGTTGTTGTTAAGAAAAATTATTCCTTGGATTTTTCCCCCTTCTCTATGTATATGTCTCCTTCCTTCCATATGAAATTTGTATTATTTTTTTCCTTTTCTACTACAGAATGTTTAGAACTCTGTAATGCATTGGTACATTATCATAATGGTAATTTTATTTTATTTTTTACTTCCAAAGATAAGATTGTTGACACATGAATTAATTAATTCAGACATGTCATCCTTCCATGTTAGCCAACCAAAAGAAATTCACACTAATGTGATGTATTAAGATTTTATTAAATATTTTGACCATTCTTTCAATTAAAAAAAAAATCTTGGTTGAGCAGTGTAACTCAGCCTTATGACTGATAACTGAAAGGTGGTCTGTGTGCATCCACCTGTGAGCTGACCAGAGAGTGAAGAGGCAGTCAGCTTCTATGAAAGGTTGTTATTGTGTATTGCCAAGTCAGAACTGACGAATCGCTAACCCTCTAGCAGGTTTTCAGAGATTGGAAATCACACAGAGGGGACCTCCAACATTTCTCTCCAAAGAAGTAGCTGTTTGATTTAAACCATGTGCCTTTGGGTTGGATGCACTGTGCCACCAAAGCTCTCTTCATCAATGATAACAGCCTCAGAAACCCTATGGAAGAGCAGTCCTACTCTATCCTGTAGAGTTGATCCAAAACTACATTGACTTAACTATTAGGTTTGTGTTTGGTTCCGGTGTTTTCTTTCAAAATATAATTTGCTCATAGATTACTGAATAGAGATTTATGTATGCAAAGACAGGAATAGCTCACTTTCAGATTAGCTCCAAAGTACAGTTGGCTGCACTGAAAAATCAAGAGAATAAAAGGGATTAAGTGTTCCGTGGAAGAGATGAGGTTTCTAAGAAATACTTTTTTTTTATCTCTACAATTCTGCCTATAGCCTATTACTCAGTTTAGCAGATCACTAAAGTTTCATTTTATTTCCTCAAACCAGGAAACAGAAAAAGTGACTAGTGTGTGAAAGAATGAATCAGGGGTGTTGTGAAAGGTAAAGATTTTGACTAGGGAACATATGTCTTAATAGTAACTGTCTTTCCTTTAACCACCTCAAGTAAGCCATTCCTTTGGACATGGGTTCTCACTCGCAGCTGCATGTTGAAGAGGTGTTCACAAGTTAGAAATGACTGCAGATGAGAAAGGAGCCTGGTGGTATTAAGAGTATTGTGTGTTTGGCTTCTAACTGTAATACCTGTGATTCAGTTCTGAGATATTGGAGAGAGATGAGCAGCCTTGAAGATCGGGGGGCTCATCAGCAGTCAGAGTTGGCTATGACAGTGATGTATCTTACTTTTTACCCAAGTGAAATCTCTGAAAGTGAAACTTGGATATGCTCCGTTTAGATTCCCATGGTAGAGAAAATTCACTCGTTACCTATTTAATGTAATTCTTATTAATTGGGATTCAGCCAGTTGAATTAAAACTCTTAATGTAAAAATGATTTAACAAAAATTATAATCTGTTGTTAATTAAATAAAGTAGCAATCAAAGCATATGTTGTTATTAATACCACTGGCTTGCTGAGAAGCAAACACTGAATATCAATTTTTAGAGAATTTATTGAAAGCAGTAATTTGAGAATTATTATAAGATGGTTCATTGGCTACTATTTTTTAAAAGACCCTTAAGTAAACTTGGATTATGTTAAATAGCAGCAGAAATATAATAACCCTGTCTCTGCTGAGTATGTGTAACTTGATAGCCTGTTTGCTTTTCACTTAGTAGTGAGGCTCCGAGCAGCAGGGGTGTGAGGATGGTGCAGCCAGGCAGGCTTCCTTCTGTTGTGCATAAGGTTGCTAGAGTCTCTGAGCTTGTTACCAGTAAAACACAATGCTACCAGAAAAACCAGTCTTGGAGACAGGGGTATGAGCTTCTCTAATACATCTTCCTACCTTGAAGACTTCATGTTGTATTATGTAGGGGAGACACAGGGCAGCTCAATGCCCTCAGTATATCCTCACCCATTCAGGTGACCCAGGCCTGGTCATTGTGGCTCAGCCGAGGTGGCCTGGTCCAGTCATGTTTCTGGGGATAATCTGGCATTACCCACAAGGGAACAATCTTGAATATAAATTTCTGGGCTATAGGGAATAAATTTCAACTAAAATTTGCCAGTTAAATAGCCAAACATCATCAGAGGGCTTCAGTTTGTTAAGTTAGCTTCTCTTAGTTATTGTCCTCTGAGAAGAGAAACACCTTTTGAAATAATAAATTTTTAAAATTTCATTTCAAAAATAAACCTTTTAAAAATAAGTAATGTGCATTTTACACTGGCATTGGATATTGTGAAAAATTAGTATCTGTTAATTGAAATACTAGTCTTATTGTCAGTTGAGACAAGTCCTCAGAAAAAGGAAGCTTGCTAGGAAAAGAGGGAGGATGAGAGAAGCAGAGGAAGATTCCTCCAATAAGGTGGACTGACACAGTGACTGACATCATTCTCTAGCATATTAGAGATGGTGAGGACGGCCTAGGATAGGACAAGGTTCAGATTTGTTGTTTATAAGGTCCTTTGAGTTGTAATTGATTCAGATTCAATGGCACCTAACAGACATTTTATCTATTAATTGTAAAATAATCATTTTTCTTAAAGTATAATAGTTTCAAACTGTTGCAGGACTCTGTTTAAAAATCTTTTTGAAAAATATTTCCTTTTGCTTTATTGTTGATTGCAAACTCAGTGAGTTCTTAGTTACAACTTTATGACTAATAAGAATTAAGGGATCTGTATGCCGAGGCAGAGGTATTACTCACATAGAAGGAAATTGCCACAGTAACTTCTCAGAGGAACTACCTCTCCAAAGAGAAATTCATTGCTCTTTTAATACACTGTGTATTAATGCATAGTCATGAAGAAGGCTGTTAGGGGCTACCCAGCTAGGTGAAGTGTGAACTTGTTAAGGCAGGCCTGTTGTGCACATATTCTTAGAACCAGTTCCAATTAGTTTCTGTGAAAACACATGTAATGGCACTTCTGTGTTTTCCTGCTAGTCAGAAGGCCTGCTAAATGGCATATACCAACTTCTTCATGTACAGTAATAAGAAAGCTTTACTTTCATGTTTGCCCTTAGTATTGTGAACATTACATGCCAAAATGACTTGCCAGCACCTGATAACAATTCTAATTGTCTTGATAATCTCTGATATAATTTTGTTGAGTAAAAGCAGTATAATTTTTAGCAGTATAATATAATTTTAAAGCAGAAGGTAATTTGCTTCTTTCTAAAATTTTTGGTCTTACTAAGATGTGATGTTTTTATGCACCATTGATTTAGAACCAACTCATTCCTGTTTTCAGAGTCAGTAAGTCAAATGGGAGATTACCCATCTTTTTTGCACAGAGCAGCTGGTGATTTGGGTTGGAAGCCAAACACTTACCACTAAGCCACCAAAACGACAACGATATCTCAATAATAATTCATACTATAATGGGATAAAGATAGTCTCTTCTGGTGCAATTTAAACCACCTGAAATCCTGCTGGAGGCTTCGCTCTGAGTCAGTTCTGACTCTGTGGCACATAACAAAACAAAACATGCTAATCTGAATCAAACTCAGTTTTATTGCCATCAAGTTGGAAGTGTCTCATAATAGACTGTTGGACTTTCTAAGGCTGTGAGTCCCATAAGAGGAGATAGCCCATCTTTTTCCCCCAGAGGTGCTGGTGGGTATGAACCACTAGAGAGGTGTGTGCACCCTTGGGTGAGCAGCAGTTCTCTGTCTTGACCATAACACCACAGCTCTCTATGGCATAAATTATTTTATTGTTAGGTGCCATCAAGTGTCCCTAAGTACGGTAGATCTGGATCTTATTCTGTCCTGTGCTATCCTTAGCATGTCTGATAAACTTGAGCTCATTGTTGCATTAACCATGTCACCCCAATCTCAATGGGGATTTTCCCTTTTTTCACTGACCCCACACCCTTCCAAGCATGGCTTTTCCAAGAAATCACCTCTTAGCAATATATTCAAAGTATGAGAGAAAAAAATTTTCCATATTTGCCTTCAGGGAGCACTCTGGCTTCACCTATTCTAAGATATACCTGTTCATTCTTTTGACTGTCCATGGAATAATCAGTACTTTTGTCCAGCATCATAGCTCTAGGCATCAATTCTTATCATCAATTAGTCATCTTTGTTCATTGTCTAACTCTGATGCATAGAAATAATTGAAAAGACCGTGACATGAATTTATTGCATGGTAGTCTTCAAACTGACATAGTATCCTATTAATAAATAATATGATGTTGTATTTTGAAATTTTATCCAGTCACTTGTTGACAGACATTTGTGTTTCTTTTCTTGTTTTACTATTCAAAAGTTTTGAATATTATGTCTTTTTCCAACCACCTGTATTGATTTTTGTTGGACCTTTGAATAAAATTATTAGATTATATGATACATACATGTCTAACTTTTTTAAGAAACTACCAAGTTGTTTCTCACTGGATATGATTCTTTTATCCTGTCATCAGCAGTTTGAGTTTTCTTGTTACTTCAATTCTTGACAAAGTCTGTATGTTGAGTCTTGTTAGTCATGTAATCTGATGCTAGTTTTAATTTGCATTATCCTAACAATTAATGTGGGACGGCCAGTGGTTTAGTGGTAAGAAGTTTCACAGCCAACCCAA